AGATGTATGACCTTTAATTTAAACCAACAAAGTCCATGCTCAATAACCCAGGTATACAATCCAACATTTTTCAGTCAGTTCATCTGGACAGTTTCTTTTTTTGCTGAAACATTTCACTTTCCATCCAGAAGGCTTCATCAGTCAAAGAAACACACAACACAAAACTGATTCTTCCCCCAAACAGCTTACTCCAAAGTGGAACAAACCAGTTATGTTGGTGCTAAGATGGTGTCTTTGACACGCCCCCTCCTCCGGTGCCGGCCCTCTTCCTCATCAACAGTCATGTCAAAATGGTTCAAAACCAACAAAGTCCATGCTCAATAATCCAGGTATACAATCCAACAATTTTCATTCAGGTTATCTGGACAGTTTTTTTTTTTTGTTTGTACTGAAACATTTCACCTTCCACATTTAATTTGAACCTTTAAATTTAATAGTTTAATTTAACCTTTTATGACCTTTAATTTATATATTTTTTAAATATATATATATTAAAGGAAGGAAGGAAGGACGGACGGACGGATCTATGTATGTGTAAACTGACCACTCCAATCATTTCAGAAAACTATGCTTCTTAGTTTTTATATTACTTAAAAGTATAGTTTCCTCAAATGACTGAGGTGGCCCTTTAGATCAGTCTATGGTGGTGAAGGCCACCATTGGCCACCCCCTGGCTCCTCCAGTGCACTTGGTCGTGGATAAAATTGATCCCTCCACTCGCCAGGATCATTCACTCTGCGCTGCCTCGGACAAGCAATAAAAAAAAAAAAAAAAAAACTTCATAGTGTAACTCGTGCCCACTTGAATATCCTGCAGCAAAAACATTTAGGTTTACTTCATTCCCTGTTTAATTCCAGTCCGGAATAACACTCATCCTGAAATCTACATTCACTGCTCAAATCCCTCGGCGACAGGGACATCGGTGTACGGCTTATTTTTAATTCATAGCTTATCCTTTGCTTTTTGATGTTCTCACCCTTCCCTCGTTTTCTTCCACACCCTAATCTGACTTTAGCTCTTTGTAGAAAATAAATATCACTGCTGCCAGTCCTGTGTGTCTGGCTGTCAACCTCGTTGTGGCAGTGAGAAGCAGTGAGTCGGGGCCGCCTGCCTTCCTCCACAGCCTGTAACTGCTTCATTAGAGTCTCTGCTGCATCTCTGCCTGGTAGCTGGGGAGATTTAATAAGAGCTGTGAAGATGCTCCCAGACTCCTGCGTCTCGGCTGCTGGGATGTTGCCGTGGAATGTCTTTTAACGCTCAGACAGAAAGTCAAAGAACATCAAATTAGGTACACTCCTGAAGTCTTTTACTGGAGCAAAAGAGCAAATGCAGCCTTCTCAAAGCTTTTATCCTGAAGATTCATTTCCAACAGTCACTGAGACAGAGAACCAGGGACAAAAGAAGATTGAATTTCTCGTGGTCCATTTTCTGAGAAACGGGTTCTAAAAGTCACCGGCTTGTCTTTTCCCTACGCTGTTCAACACTGAATACCTTCAGTCAGTCTGAAATGATCCGTTCTATCTATAGAGGATCTACTTTCTCTACTGACAGAGGGGAATTCTTCCGTTTGTACTCTCTTACTTATTCCAGTTGGCCCCAAAAAATACAATTTAATAAAAATGCATGCTGCCTCTGTACGTCAAACAGAAAGTTAGTCAACTCTTTATAATATTCCAGACTTCTTTTACAGGTAAATAAAGTCAAACAGTCCAACTCCAAAATAATCCAAATAGTGGTTGTAACGCAGTGACATTATAATCTATAAATCTTGGGCGTGCAACTCATTTAGGAACAGATGGCAGCTTGGAGGGGATGAACGGAATCGAGCAGCTTGACTAAAATAAGCTTCAGAACAGACGATACAAACATTCACTGCTACTCATCACAAAATTAGAGCAAAAATAACTCAGAAGTTTTAAGGAATATACTTTGTTTCAGAGCAACAGTGTATAATTTATGTGGTTTAGGGAAATCCAACTGAACAGATGAAATAATTTATATCAAACGGTGCGATTTATAAGTTTATCCAGCAGATCTCAGATATGCACGTCTGTGGGTCTGTTCAGCTGAATCAGCCAAATAACAACAAAAAATCATACGAACGCTTAAATCACATGTTTGACCTACATTAGACTTTAGTCTGTAGGTAAACAAATATGATGGAGTCAGACAGGCGTGCCACCTTTGAGAAAATATTTAGGTGGGAATGTAATCTGCTGCTAAACATGAAAGAAAACAAGAAAGAAATAAAGAAGAGTGGGGGATCAGTCAGGGAAGTAAAGCGCCAGAAAGACAAACTTCTTCTAGGTCGGTGTGTTTGCCGTTTCAATCTAATCTATAGAAACTTTACAAATCTGGGCTTAAATGTGTACAACACATGAGAAATGTACTTCTCCATCCCACCCCAGTCATTAAAGTTTGGTTATAATTAAACATTTTGAATCTGAGAGAAAATAAGACTGAATCATGCTCTTTGACACGTTTGGCCTCTTGGCTTCATAAAGTCTCTGCTGTCAGGGAGCAGGGTTATGCTTTGGCAGCGGTTTCAAATCAGACAAACAGATGCAGTTTGTAAAATCATTTATTTTTCCCAGTTAGGACTAATTGTCAAGGTGAAGTCAAACCTCCCTACCCAATAACTTGGGGATATGATTCATGCAGAGATTTCCTCCCAGTTAGATTACTGGAATCATTTGTTTGTTGCTTTAGATAAATCATCTCCACATCGTTTACAAACTGTCCAGAATACAGCAGCTTGTTTTTTTAACAGGTACTAAAAAAAAACTCGTTCTGTCCTCCCTCCATTGACTTCCTGTCCATTTTCAGATTGATTTTAAGATTTTACTGCTGGCTTTTAAAGTCCTAAAAGGTCTGGCCTCATCATACTTATGGGATCTCCTTAATGTCTACAGGGCGGTCAGAGCATGCTGGTCAACCCAACAGTTTCTCTCAGATGTTTCAAGGTCCAAACTAAAATATAAAGAAGTGAACACAATTGCTGCTCCAAACTTGTGGAGCAGCTTGGCTCTTTATAAACAAACAGCTGAAAGTGATGAGTTTAAAATGTATCCTTACATCCATTTGCTCCAACTGGTTAACAAACAAACTGCAATCTGTGAGGATCCACAACTTCTCCTCCTCCACCTTAACCCTCAGCACTGGCTCCCCTCAGGGATGTGTGCTGAGCCCCCTCCTGTTCACTCTGCTCACGTATGATTGTGCAGCTACCCATCCAGGCTGTCACATTGTAAAGTTTGCAGCATCAACGTGTGGCATGGAGGCTGCACAGCTGCAGAAAGAAGAGCTTTGCAGAGAGTGGTGAAGGCTGCACAGAAGATGTTGGAGTCAGCCTCCCCACCATCACAGACATCCACACCTCCAGATGCAGGAAGAGAGCCACCTGCATCATGAAGGACCCCACTCACCCAGCACACACACTTCTTGCCCTGCTCCACTCAGGAAGGAGGTTCAGGAGCATTAAGTGTAGAACCACTAGACTGAGGAACAGCTTCTACCCTGAGGCTGTTAGACTCATGAATCTCTAACCAGAATAATCACAGTGAAAAAAAAATCACTGTAATGCCACTTGACTGTTGACATGTGCTGCTGATTATCCATGTTGCTGATCTTATGATGCTGATTTATTCCAAGCTGCTGTGTTCATTCATACTCATCTGCTCACACAGACTCATGTTCGTGCTGCTGTTGTTCAGCGTATTGATTTTGTACTACTAGTGGATTCTTAGTTTAGCATATTTCTTAGTTTATATCTTAGATCTTTTAACTGTTTTTCTTTACAAAACTATACTTTTGCTGGATGTAACTGGGACCCTGTGTACACAGTTTTGTTCCACCACATGTACTGCATGTGGTGCAAATGACAAATAAAGAAACTTTGACTTTAAAACCTTTATGTTTCCTTTGGCGTTTGATTCAGGCAGAGTTTGGCGATGGGTTTCTGTATTTTGTTTTGGCTTTACTTATTTTTACTTACATTTTTCTTATATTTATTGCTTTTATTGAGCTTACTTTATAGTTTGACAGAATTGTAAAGCACACTGATCAGTTTCTGTTTTTGACATCGCCACACATATTTTCAGTCACTTCGGCTGTTTCCGTAGGTAAACAAACATGTTGTAGTTTGTAGCTGTTCTCTAATTTTGCTTTAAAAAAACATTTATGGACACAATAATATCAATATGAAAAAAAAAGTTTTTTTTTGGGGGGGGCTGTATTAATGACATTGTAACAAGTAACTTTAAGATAACAGTAAAACTCACATCTTTGGAAGAAGAGAACATTTCGGTGGAAATTGAAAAGAGCATGTAAGAGCATGACCTTCCTTTTGGCAGCCTATCTTCTTATTAAAAATATCTGAGTGTTTGGGGGCTCAGAGTCCAGACTAATTACAGCTGCAGGCCATAATAAAGTCAGCAAGTACAGCATTAGTTATAGACTACAGGAATTAATTTCACCTTGTTACACTTACTGCAGTCTCATCAGTGAAAATCATTACGTGCATCTAGAAACATCCTGAATGCGATGTATGCACTCAGGTGCATATGAAAAATGTCAGGGAGAATAATAAAGTGTATTACACAAATCATGTATTCATCAATTTGTTGTCATTTATGTTGATAACGTGAAGACTTCTTGATCCCAGTGAGTGGAAGCTCTCAGGATGCTCCTGCAGGTTTTTGTGATCAGTGCTTAGCCTGAACACGAGTATGAAGGGTGCTGCCACAAACAATCTACAGTAGGACTTTACTATATATAGCAAGTAGCATGGGGGATGGTAAAGGCTGATGACTGTGTTTGACCAGAGGAGGAGTGTGTCTGGAGTGTGTTTGTGCATGAATGCACGAGTGCAACACTGTCAATAACAGTCATGTCGCCGGCTTGCAATCAGCGTGTACGCAAACACTTAAAGGACGTTTTCGTGCAAACAGATTTCTGTGTTCCCTGCCTATACATGTCACTTGTGCATGTGTCACACTCACGTGATGACCAGCGAGGTGGAGAAGAGTAATGTTCCCAACAGGCCACGCTGGCAGTCTGCATTCTTCCTCTGGCGCTGGTGCATCTCGCCGCCGCAGTTGTCACAGCAGCGACACATGCAGAAGAAGAGCCCCACTATCGGCATGAGGACGGCGAACAGCAGGCCCACCGCTGCACAGATGACAAAGCCCATCTCGTAGTAGATGGCCTGGGGTCGGCGGAGGAAGAACGAGAGGAGACATGAGATGAAGAACGAGGGAGAGATCGTATGAGGAATCATAAAGGAGGTTGTGAAGGGACCACAAGGTGATTGGAGATTCAAACGAGGAGTTTGGGAGTGATGGAGAGAAGAACAGGTGCGTTAATTAAGGTGTACAAGAGGAGAAGGAAGGACACACATGGAGGCCAATTATAACTCGAGCAACACATTTTAAGAAACCAGCTTTAAAACCTCTCTATTGCATCCTTCCAGTGTATTATTCACTGCAGGAGAATCTTTTCTCTCTTTCTAATCCCACAAGCTAATTCAGTAGGTGATCCCATAAATGCATTATTATAAGAAATGGATGCCCAAACTGAAATGTAGGATGAGATCATTGTTATCACACACAGCAAAGATGACAGCAACATGTGAGGGATGGTGGAAAAAATATTCATTGGAGCCTGGCCCATCCTTGGAGCATGCGCTGTCGTTTTAATTCCCAGTGCAATAAAGGAGAAATACTGCATTTCTGATTAAAAAAAAAAAAAAAAGATGAAATTTTTGATCTATCTATAATTTAATATATATATATATATATATAAACCTGCTTCATTAGGGAGTGACAGAAGCTCGTTTGATTGAACTTGAGTAAAAATATCTTGAAACAAGAAACATCCCCCTATAAACTGATAATTATTTGTTTCAGAGCAGATAAAGTGATGCACGCCACTGAGCAACTTCTTATTATTTTAATATTAGCTGAAGATCGAAAATAAAAAAACCCAAATGAAATTATCTTGTACCTGTGAAAGATTTTTTAAAGTTTATTAAAAACATGTTTGAGAAGTTGATCAAAACCTAAAACGCTAGTTTTGTAGTCAGTACAGAATTTTGAATATAGGAAACTTGTAGCCTGAAGCTAATGTAGCTAAGACTAACGTAGTAGCCGAACGTTAAACCTCCACATAATTTTACAAGCTTATCGTTTGTAATAATCAATGGAAGTTTAACGAGAACCACAACATTTGTCTCACTCATTAGTTTAGATTTTTTAAGATAAATATTAAGATGGAAAAAATTCTTCTTCTTTCGGCTGTAGCGTGGCCACAGTGAATTAACTCCAACAAAGACCAGGCGATTGTTTTTACAGGCAGGTGTGGGTGTTTCAGCTTTCCCACCCACATTTTGATGCTATCAGGGCGGGGAGTTGAACCGGTGACCTTTATATCACAAGCCCACCTTCTTTAATCTCTGTGCCACTGGAAATTAATTGTCTTTTATCTTTATAACTTTAATTAAATAAAATGTACAGAATAATTCAGGTGTAAACAGCTTTATAAATCAATGCCGACTGTTTCATGACTCTTTGTGTAGGATTCTTTCACGTCTTCGTTACCATGGAAACGCACATATCTCTCCTTGAAAAGACTCAAGGGTCTGAAGTGAGATCAAATAACAGAAAAATAATACATAATCCACGCGTTAACATGAGGAGTGGCTTCATTTTACAAAAAAAATGAAATAAAAAAAGATTTTTCATATTTTATGTCAAACTGATTCAGAGAGTTAAGACGGTGAAAAAGACTAATTTAAAGCTACGTTAGTCGTTTAGGGTTAGGGCTGCTGTTGAGGACGTTGTGCTTGTGTTGTCGTTCTGCTTCTGGGCATCATTTTTACTGAGTGAAGCTTTAGAAGAAAGGTCAGCAATGATTTTCTTTCCTTCCCACCCAATCATTCTAAGTGCCTGCAGCTATGGCTATTTTCAGACTGTAGTTTTGTTTTGCCAAGCGCCCAAAAGAAAAAGGTGCCCTTCCAATTAGAACAAACTGAATGATGGGGTGGCAGCATGTCTCCGTGATGAAGCTCTACCTCTGGTCAGATTTAATGCCAGCAGCAGCCACAAGGCACACTCACATATCTTTATCATTTATTGTTCTGCCATTCTCTGTGATACGTTAAGGTTTTTACAGAATCCAAACTAAGCAGGATGCCGACATCCATGTTACTGAGGGATTTAAACAGTGAATGTTTGTGGTTTTCAAGATAAGTGTTTTCCTGGCTTGAAACAGACGATGCAAGTAAACCTTAATGTTTTCGGTGCAAGATATTCAAGCGGGTAGGAGATAAAGTGTGGAGAAGAAGGTTTTTTTTTTTCTTGTCTGAAGCAACAAAGAGTGATGAATCCTGGTGAGTGGAGGGACCAGTTTCATCCTCATCAAACTTGAACACCCCCCCCCCCCCCACCCCATATATTGCCGCTCTAAACCAGAAACTTTTGGAAACAACTCAACTTCCTCCTTTTTATGGTCCTTCGAGCCGGATGATAATTAATGTATGCTGAATTAGCAGACTGAGATGCGGGAGAAAGAACTGATTGTACAACTGGAGGTGGAAAGCGTGGTGGCATCTGGTGCAGGGCCTCGTTTATTGGAGGCAGAACTACATGTAGAGCTAAAGGTAGGACCGCTGGAGAACCTGGTTATTGGCTCCCTGGTTGTTGGCTCCCTGGCTCTAGCGATGGGCCATAGTATGTACTTGAAATGAAGCTTTGGGCAGCTCTAGAGGTGGAACTACGGAGGGTCTGGGACTAGGCACTATTATTTATATAGCGCCAAATCACAACAATGTTGTCTCAGGGCACTTTACAGGAACATTCACATACATAACAAAAGCCAATTAGTAAAGTTCTCTATCTAAGGAAGACAAGACAGCAGACAAGATTATATATATATATATATACATACATATAT